TAAACAAAAAGAAGAAATAGAAAAAAATAAACACAAGAAAGGAAAAGATAGTCTCTGTGATCTCTTCTTCTAGAAGATTTCATGCCCTTAAAGGAAATGAGCTCAATGTAGGTTCTCTACCTTTGTTTACTGAGGTTTCCCCACCCCACACTGTCAATAAAATATTATCTTATCAAGAAAAATAAGGGAAGGAAATGAGCTTAAATGAGCCGCCTGTGAGAGGAATGTTGGAGAACTTCTGATGATGTAACGATATCTTACATGCAAACATGAACTAACTTATGAACCTCATTGTGGAGATGGACAAGTAATGCAATGACCTAATCTGGCCTTTTAGGTGTAATAGGGAAAAATACTATATTAAGCGAAGGTGAAGACGAGATCTTGATAAGGGCCTCACAAGGTACTTTCTGAAGATGGCTGTTGTTGATGTGTCAAGTCACTAAAGGATTGTTGAATCTCCAACTTGTTTCTCATGTTACTGTTATAGCATTCTCTTCCCTCTACTGATTTCTTCCTTGATACTGGAACAGGGGTATATTATATTTGTACCGGCAACAAACTGGAAATGGTATGTCTGTCTTCCTTTCAAGCGATTTAGTGGTCATGGGGTTTACCTATTTGAAGAAAGAATAGGGAATAGTTATGGATATCCTTTTGTTTGTTTTCATTTCACCATTCTTGCTTTTTAAATGGTTTGCATTGTAAATGAGACTATTTCATTGATGAATCCAGTCATAGGAGGAAACATGACTTCTCATTTGTAGTTAATTTTTAAGCATAGTACTCGTCTCTGGATGCTATTACACATTGTTTTATTATAGTTCATGTTTCGTATGCCTTATACTCTTTTGAAGTTCCTACTTCCCTTCTCCTTTGCCTCCAGTCCTAGTTTAAGCCCATTTTTTGTTAATTTTTGCTTCACTTGTTCATTGATTTATGTGTATTATCCTTCCTGTTTCTCATTATGTTTATTTGCCGTTTGCATGGTAAAAACTCATCTGTCAAGCATAGGGTTGCAAGTTCGGGTTGTGCACAGCTAAGTGAAAAATAAGCTGCCTTTTAGGTCTTTACCCAGTTCGAGCCTAATAATGCCCCAGGTTGTGGGGCCAAAACTGGGTGCTGTATTCTCACTAGTTTCTTCTTCCTCTTCGTAGTTAATGCCCCTCTAGGAATTTGTTTTTCCTCCAGTTGCAGTTTTGTTAAAATAGTGGAAGAACTTCCATCTATGAGAGTAATTGTTGGGCTTCTACTTCACAACATATCCACAAGCTGATGGTTGTATAAATGCAAATGTTAAAATGAATGTGTTATCATACAAGATTGGACAAAGAAATGATCACGTCTGAAGTAGGCTTCAAGTATCACCTGTTGGGGATAAAATAAGAGAAGAACTAGAAGGTCGTTTGAGATGGTTCTTACAATGTCTTGAATAGACCTCTAAATGCATCGACTGATTGATGCGTCACTACAGGGCGTACGCAAAACTTTTTGTAAGCGGTGTTGTATTTATATAAATAAATAAAAATAAGTATTATTTAATATCATTTTCCTACAAGTTGAAAGCCTTGACCCAATGGTTTAGTTGAATGTTATTGCAAAGGGAGGTATAGGTTCAATTTTCCTTAGCCTCAAATTTTTAACAAAAATGCTCGCTCAAAGATATTCAAAAAATAGTGTCTAGGTCCAGCCTCGAACCTACAACCTTTACAAACCCAAATATGAGCTTGACTCGTGGATCAAGAAATACTCTTAGCTAGAAAACGGTGTCATTACTATATATTGTCTTGTTTTTGCAGAATATTAGTATAAACATTTAGTATTTTTTTATGGCACCCATTTGCATACGCCCAATTGAAGGTGCTAAAAGAGGGACAAGGTAGAATTACATGTAGGGAAAAAAATCGTCTAAAAAAACCTACAATCTCGCAGGATCAATGCAAATTTAGTTAAGAACAGAATGCAATGGAAGTAAAAGATTCCATAAGGCTACAACGACTAGTTGGAATTAAGGGTTTATTGTTGTTCGCCCAAAGCTTATTTACATTAGGTCTGCTATTTACCATGACCTTGTTTAGTTTGATTATAGACTTTTGTGTCGAAGTAGGAATATATGTGAGTAAGAGAACCTCTAGTTTGACAGAACCATTAAATTGCGTTAGAAGACCAGTAATTTAGTATTGGAATGTAGGTCTGAATAGAGCAGAATGGATATAGTGGATTCATATTGTCAATCAGATCAGTTTCAGTTTGAGGTGTGGTTGATTGATATTTATTGGGCTTGAATATGGTGAAGTTTCGGTGTAACAAAAATAAATAAAACTATTTTCAACCACTGCCATGCTACTCATATCCCCCTCAGTTTTAAATAAATAAATAAAACAAACAATTTTCAAGCACTGCAATGCTACTCATGTCCCTCTCTTGTCATAATGTTTTCTGTCACTCATTGTCTAAAAGTAACTAATTTCCATGTGCACAACTTATACATCATTAGCTTATTTCTATTCTTGGATATTCTGATATGCTCAAGTGCTTCAGTTTCTGATAAATTTTACCTTTGCACAAGGCTGTAGACGTACTTTCACTTGGTGATCCTAATTCTTAGGAAGCATGTTAGAGTGGGTGTTAACTGTTACGAGTCCCACTTTGGTTGAGGAATGGGTTGTTTGTCTACTTATATACCTTTGGGGTTGAGTCAGGCACAAGGTCCATTTTTTACATGGTATCAGAGCTGGACCCATCCCAATTCTTGGTTTACCCGATGTTGGCCCCCGTATTACGTTGTCCACCGGGGCATGCGTGGGTGTTAGAGTGGTTGTTAGAGTCCCATATTGTTTGAGGATTGGGCTGGTTGTCTCCTTATATGGTCTTGGGCAATCCTCACCTCATTAGCTAGCTCTAGCTCTTGGGGATGACTTACACCCAAGGTCCATTTCTTTACCAAGCATTCTCTTCACATGCTATTTATCTGTTGTGCACACCTTTGGTAAATCATGTCGAATATCTAAGTATGGCAAAAAGGAAATCCATCGGAGTTTTATTATATCCAAAAAGATCTTGGATTAACTTAGAATAAGAACCTGGCCCTGGTTTTGTTCATTACATCATTTGCTGAAGGTCTCAAACGCACATTAGAGTGTTTCTCTGTCAATTATCTTTACCATTGTCATATTCTGCCTGTGCCAGCAGCTGAAATTTCATGGAACAAGAGGCAGTTTTGAATTTTAAAATTTCAACCTTTATTTATTTAATTTTCTTAGTAAAATAAAATTTCAACCCTTATTTTAGATGTGAAAACTGAAGTCTTCCTAGTATGAGGATCGGCTGATTACAATACCTCCCAAGGCATTTCAATCCCATAACATGATGTGCATTAAGTTGCTGGCCTCATCTGCACTCACTATACCCTCTTACACTAACTATCATCTGATAATGGTTCTTTTTAAGAGGTGTCTGCATTTAATTGATGAAGCTTTTGCAGGATTTTGCTTGGTCTGTTGATTTCCTATGAAACTATTGCATGCTAGTTTAACAATAAAACGGAAATGGAGCACTATTTGACTCTTTCATCTTGCCTTATGACAGAGGATGCTGAGCTCACTCCACTATTACGTCTTGGAGCTGGAGCTTGTGCTGGCATAATTGCCATGTCTGCAACTTACCCGATGGACATGGTGCGAGGAAGAATCACTGTGCAGGTAAGTTGCGTATCCTTTTGAATAAATGTTATGGGTGTTGATCTACTCATATGGGTATTATTTTGCAAGGATGCCTTCTAAATTCTTTTCCGTACTATGCAGACAGAGAAGTCTCCTTATCAATACAGAGGAATGTTCCATGCATTGTCAACTGTGCTTCGTGAGGAAGGTCCACGTGCTTTGTATAAAGGATGGACTCCTTCTGTCATAGGAGTTGTAAGTCCTTGTTCCTGGATCAAAAGGAACTGGCTATCCAGTACTCATATTAATTTGATAACCATGCTCACAGGATCTGGTGGTGTCATATACATCTCTCCAAAGTTTTTTAATGAAGAAAAAGACTCAAATTAATTTGATAATCACTCTGTGAATGCATTTGGTATATCTTCATTTGAAAAGATGTCCATGAAGAAGAAAGTCAAGTGGCATTCTCTTCTGAAAGTGATAAGAATGGCCACCAATGGTCAATTAGCTATATTAGTATTAAGTATTAACCCAATTATTCTAGGAAAAAGGTTAAACATGAATCCCTGTTGGATGAAAGGAAAAAAGAGAAAAAAAATCTTATTCGGCAAAGAAAGGGAAGAGAAAAGAAGACATAACACTAGTTGAGAGTTCTTATCTTTCTTTTGAATGCTTATCATCTGATTTGGTGTTTGCAGGTTCCATATGTGGGGCTTAATTTTGCTGTATATGAGTCTTTAAAAGACTGGTTGATCAAAACAAAACCATTCGGTCTTGTTGATGATGAGCTTGCTGTTGTTACAAGGCTGGCATGTGGAGCTGCTGCAGGAACGGTTGGACAAACTGTTGCCTACCCTCTTGATGTTATTCGCAGAAGGATGCAGATGGTGGGATGGAATCATGCTGCATCTATCGTTGCTGGTGATGGGAGGAGCAAGGTTCCCCTCGAATATACTGGAATGATTGATGCTTTCAGGAAAACTGTTAAGTACGAGGGTGTCAGAGCCTTGTACAAGGGTTTAGTGCCCAATTCAGTGAAGGTTAGTCTTATTTATCAATAGCATTACCTTCCAGTTTAAGCAGTCTTGTATCCTTCCTGTTTTTGTTTTTCAAACCAAGTCTCGTCGCATGTGTTTCTGTTCTCTGTCCTTTGTTTTCTTCTTTGGGTTCATTGTTTTATATTTCAGTGTTGCATTTGAATCTTTGCTTGCTTAAATAAAAAGTTCTGGTTCTGATTAGAGATACTTTGCTTCTCATTAGACGTTACATCATTACTTTTTATTTCATTCCTAATAGTGCGGTATATATTCAGGTTGTTCCTTCAATATCTATTGCTTTTGTGGCATATGAGCAAGTGAAGGACCTATTGGGAGTTGAGATCAGAATATCTGACTAATGAAGAGAAGCTCCAGTATTTTTTTCATGCATATGATAATTTTGTAGGCAAGGATACAAAGGTTACAATAACATGGTGGTTGCATAGTCTAGATGGAGAATTTAGAGTCCTGTTCTAGCCTGTGTTTAGAACTTCCTTACTGTATCTGCTTATTGCTATCTTAGTGTTGTCAATAAGAAATTATCAAGAATAGTCTAATGAATAATTTGAGTGCCCATGTTAGTGAGAGAATACAAGTATTCATGTGTTTTTAACCGCTTACTTTTGTTATACGATCAGTTATTAGGAATTATACAAGTTTGTAGGCCATTTGTGCACTGTGTTCCAGTGATGCAAAAGCTGGTCTTGCCATAGTATTCAAATATTCTGTGTATAGCTGCTAAATCCATTAGAGAAGTAAACCCCTTATTCCCTTGCCTACAATTGTTTACATGGGCACATTGATGTTCTTGGATAATCAACGAAAGGGAAATAATCCAGATGAGGAAAAAACACCCTTTATTCCGTTGCCTATAGTTGTTTAATTCAGTGTAGAAAGACAAAATCCCTTTATTCCTCTGCCTATAGTTGTTTAAATCGATGTATAAGATGCTCCTTGCTTTGGCCTAGTGGTAAGAGTGCAGTTACTGATGATGTTTATGTTAGGTGCACCTCATATTTCGAATCCTGACATATGGACAAAAGCATTATATTAAAGTGGAATAGGTTAGAGGGGCAAGCGAGTTATTTATTGAATTTTGAACCATGTGCCATTGACTATGAGATTTTTTCGCTTATTAGATAAAAGATGCTCTTGGAAAATGAGATGTCTAAAAGGAAAGATAGAGGGTGTAAACCCCTTTATTCCATTCCCTAGTGGATGTTCTCGGATAAAGGGAAATGACCTATGTAAATTATATGGGGGTAAAAAGTTTCATATCAAGTAGTTTTTGCTATGCTGATTTGTAACGAAATGCTCTATAAAATACTGAAACACGGTTTCAAAGTATTGAGTAGAATTGTAGAATGCTTTCGTAGAGTTGAATAGAAATGTTTGCCATTCAAAAGCCTGTCTTTCGTTTTTTCTATCTTCTTTCCTGTTTTCTGACTCTCGTCTCTTCATTTTTCTCTATCCATAAATGGAAAAGAGTCAAAAGACCTCTTAATTCTTGCTATGCCCCAAGTGTGTTGATTCCTCACATTCTTCTGCTGTGTCTGGATAAATACATGAAAGAGAGATTCTTGATTACTTCTAACATAACATAAGGGAGCGAAGACTATTCTAATTTCAACACATATAACAGTCAATAAAGCGGGTGAAACCACGGGAAATCAGAAAATAAATCCGACAGACAAAATACTAGGGATTACTTTCTATTAGCCTAAGTTTGTTTGACCAGAATTATTCGGTATCAGTGTTATCAAAGGCGAAAAGTGAAAAAAAACTTTAAGTCTGTTGGGGCTTTAAGCGCAAAACACAAATAAAGAATGAACTTTAATGAAGAAAGATGCAAATGAAAAAAAATTACTAATATGTATGTGTAATCCAAGACTAATATCTATTAGCATGAATACCAAATATATGGACAAAGAAATTGAAGAAAATTTACGATAAAATAAAATAATAATTGTTTAGTGTCGCCTCTTTAGGATTATGCTCATTAGCAAGGAAAAATATGCTTTAGAGTTTTGATGACAACATTGAAGCGCCCTCTAAGCGAGGCGAAGCTCTAAATATGTTTTGAGTCTCGCTCCGGGACTTAAGTGTGCCTTTGATAACACTGTTCGATACTTGTGGTGGTAAAATATAGCAGGTATATGAAATGGTCGAAATGCTTACAAACTGACCTAGAAACCACTATGGTTTATCGAAATAAAGCAGTAATTTTCATAAAAAGCTTACCTGCAGTCCCTAATCTTGGTCTGGAACCTGGGCATTTGTGGTTCAGTAGCCCGGTAATTATTCATTCCTCCTCGTTTTCTGAAATTTACATTAGAAACAATGTTGTGTTCTTCGTGATCTTTGTCAATCTCCAATTCCTCAAAACTACGTTCTTCAGATGATAATTAAAGAAATGAGAGAATAAGAACAAGATTCAGCTCTGCTAGAAACAATTCTCTTGGTTTCTCATCACTTTTCTCTTCCTCTATATTTACTAATTGTTCTTCTAGCTTCATGGCCATAGTCGTAGATTCAACCATTTTTTCCCTCAAAAATCTATTTATGGAGTAGGATTTTTTTTTTCTTTTTCCAAACTAAGAGATTTGGGAACTATAAGAGGAATAAAGGACACAAATATATATAGATCTAATATGTGGTGTCAACTCGCTTTTACTCATCCACCATGTTTTATGTAACAATAACCACAACTTCCTGTATTTTAGGCAAATGTTTGGCTAATAGATTTGGGTGGACCTTCGTTTTTTTTTTTTTCTTGGGCTTGCTTTCATCCCATAATTTAATAAAAAATGTCAGATTCCAATAGGTAAAAATTCAAATTAGTTATCATAGTTGCTTTAATTAAGTCAGTTGTTGATGGTAGGCTAGAAACCCGTGTTTTAGCCGTACTATTGCACTCTAATTATTGCATTTTACGTGTGTTTAAGCTTAATTGATAGTAAATTATACTTATTACGTGTTTTATGCCTTGTAGGATATGATTCTGAGCTATTTAGGTAATTTGGAGCGAAATCGAAAAAGTTGGAGCTTTGAAGTCTGAGTAGAAGCCCAAGAAACCGGGATCATGTTCGGGGGTCGAGAATCAAGTCCGGATATCAAAAAGTTAACACATGAATTTATTCTGAGAAAAAACCACTACCACGCCGCGAGGCGCGGCAGTGCAAAATTGTCTGACAAGCAAAATGCGAGCTCTCTGAATTTCCTCACTAGCGCGCCGCATGGGGCGGCGCGGTTGTGCAAAATTGTCAGAGTGATTTTCAAGTTCAACTAGGAAAGGGTAGTTTTATCCGGGCTTGTTTCTACATGATATAAATACACCAAAAGCACGATTTTGAAGGGACTTTTGACCTACGAAAGATTGGAGAACCAACTAAGGCAAGAAGACTCAAGAATTCATCAATATTACAACCTGCAGTCGGTGCAATACAGAGTTTGTATCGAAATCACTAGCTTTGATGTTTTCTTTGTTCTTAAACTTATTTGAGATTATTACTCCATTGTTATGAAGTAATTTTCATTAGGGTGTTGACAGATACAATGTTTCGATAACGTGATTAGGGATCCAATTCTTGATAATTGTTAGAATTAATTGATGGAGTTTTAATTTGTATTGTGAGTTATTTGTTGTTTTGCTTAATTGAAAGAGGAATTTGATGTTGAATTTCTTCATATCTTATGCTCTAGTTTAAATTCGTGATTCAAATAGATAATCGAAAGAGCCTCTTGAATTGTTAATCGAACTAGAAAATAGGAAAATATTCTTGAGAAGTTACCCTTTAGAGCAAAATCATCATTTGGTTGTTGCAATTGTTTACCGTGCTTCAATTAGATTAATTATTGACTTAACGTTTAATCGAAAGACGAACATTAACTTCAAGCGCAATCTAATTATCGGTTGAATTCATGAGAATCAACCGTATTATAGAGTGAATTAACTCAAGAATTGGATCCCGAGTCGGTTATCTTTCACCTATCTAGTCAAATACACTTATCCCTCTCATTGATATTTCTTTATTGCTCATCTGCTATCTTTTGTGATCAATTGTTATTTGCTTAATTTTTAGTAGTTCACCGTAGTAACAGTTATCAAATCAAGTATTAATTTTTCTTGATAGTAATCAACTGGAGATTATTCGAACACTGTTTAAATCCAATCCCTGTGGAGACGATAATAAATCTATACTATCTTTGACTAGCGAGCAATAATTTTGTGTTTGTGTTTTGCGCTCATCAAATTTTGGCGCCGTTACCGGGGATTGGCAATCAATAGTGTTTAAAATAGTTTTTAGTACTAATTTAGGAACCAATTTTTACTTTAGTTATTCACATTTCTTACTTATGTGCAGGATACAGGTTTGATTTCTCTGGTGTATGACTCGATCGTCTTCAAAGGAAGTGATACCCTACGAACCAGAGTTGGAGAAATACCTGCGACAACTGAGAAAAGAAAGAGACTTAATAGAAAAATTCTTGGGTCAAACTTCGACTCAAGATACTATGGCAAACGAAGAGAATGATGGAGTAGACTTAGCTGCAAGAGAGGCAGTACAACTAGAAGCTGCACAGAGAATTGCTGATGAGACCGTCAAAGATGATGTGGGTCGAAGATTCAATCTAAACCGACCCTTGGTTGAAGACCAGTTCGATAATGCAGCACCCATGCCTGGAAGATCATTGGGTGACTATGCTAGGCCAGTCTATAATAAAGGACTGTCAAGTGTCAGACCCCAACCCATAGCAACAAACAACTTCGAATTGAAGCAACAGTTGCTTCAAACTATCCAAAATAACTGCACTTTCAGAGGGAAGGTGAACGAAGATCCTAATACTCACTTGATGGACTTTGAAGATATCATGAACACCTTCTAATACAATGGAGTATCAAAGGATGCAGTCTATTTAAGGGCATTTCCCTTTTCATTGAAAGATGATGCGACACAATGGCTTCGTAGCTTACCCGCAGGTTCTATCAGAACATGGGAAGATATGACCAAGAAGTTTCTTGACAAGTACTTCTCAGCTGCAAAAACTGGGAAGTTTAGAAGGGAAATCCCCAATTTTGCCAAAAGGAGAAAAAAATGGTTTTTGAAGCTTGGGAACGATTCAAGGAGATAGTCAGAAAGTGTCAGCATAATGGAATCGATTTGTGGATGCAACTCCTGGATTTTTGGGATGGACTGACACCGTCCCCGCGACGAATTTTGAATATTGCATGTAGAGGTCCACTAATGAAGAAAACGCCGGAGGAAGTTGTCTTAATCCTTGATGAATTATCTTAGGATGCTAATCAGTGGCCGACTGAGAGTAATGATAGAAGAAAATCAGTTGGGGTTCACCAGGTGGACTCTAACACATCCTTGCAAGCCCAGCTAGACCCATGGCCAAGGAGATAAAAAAGCTGACATTTGCCAAGGTACAGAATGAGCCGCAAACAACATGTGACTTTTGTGGATTGGGACACCCTACACATGAGGGTCAAGCATCAGCTGAGGAAGTCAACGCAGTGGGGAATTTTAATAGAGAAAACTACCAAGGTGGGAACAACTATAATTCTATAGGTCAAAAACATCCAGGTTTTTCGTGGAGTTCACCTAGTGGGAGCTTGAATTTATGGCAGCAAAATAATCTTAGACCCCAGGGTTAAGGACCACCAGATTTTCAGAACCAGCAGAGGCAACAATACCAGCCATAACAGTCAAATCAATCTAGTATGGAAGACCTCATGAAGGCATTCATCAACAAATCAGATGGAAACTTTGAGACTCGGGGCACATCCATCAGAGAGTAGGGCACGGTCATCCGGAATTTAGAACGATAATTGGGACATATTGCAAATTTGTTATCTGAGAGGGCTCCTGGGACTTTGCCCTCTAACACTGAAATGAACCCAAAGGAAACAATCAAAACTGTTGTGATGACCCAAAATGTCATCTTTAAATTTAATAATTAATTCTGTATTTTAAGACCTCGAA